TTTTTTTCAAAAATTTTCACAAATAGATAGGGTTACTGTAGAATCCGCTTAGAACAAGTTTTATAGACTGTTTTTAATGTAGTTTCGAATGAGCTATAGTATATCCAAATAAGTCATGTATTTGCGGAGAAACACCCCTCTGAGTCTTCCATGTCCCAAAAAATATTAAAAAAAATTTTTTCAAAAATTTTCACAAATAGATAGGGTTAATGTAGAATCCGCTTAGAACAAGTTTTATAGACTGTTTTTAATGTAGTTTCGAATGAGCTATAGTATATCCAAATAAGTCATGTATTCGCGGAGAAACACCCTTCTGAATCTTCCATGTCCCAAAATATATTAAAAAAAATTTTTTCAAAAATTTTCACAAATAGATAGGGTTAATGTAGAATCCGCTTAGAACAAGTTTTATAGACTGTTTTTAATGTAGTAGTTTCGAATGAGCTATAGTATATCCAAATAAGTCATGTATTCGCGGAGAAACACCCCTCTGAGTCTTCCATGTCCCAAAAAATATTAAAAAAAATTTTTTCAAAAATTTTCACAAATAGATAGGGTTAATGTAGAATCCGCTTAGAACAAGTTTTATAGACTGTTTTTAATGTAGTAGTTTCGAATGAGCTATAGTATATCCAAATAAGTCATGTATTCGCGGAGAAACACCCTTCTGAGTCTTCCATGTCACAAAAAATATTAAGAAATTTTTTTTCAAAAATTTTCACAAATAGATAGGGTTACTGTAGAATCCGCTTAGAACAAGTTTTATAGACTGTTTTTAATGTAGTTTCGAATGAGCTATAGTATATCCAAATAAGTCATGTATTTGCGGAGAAACACCCCTCTGAGTCTTCCATGTCCCAAAAAATATTAAAAAAAATTTTTTCAAAAATTTTCACAAATAGATAGGGTTAATGTAGAATCCGCTTAGAACAAGTTTTATAGACTGTTTTTAATGTAGTTTCGAATGAGCTATAGTATATCCAAATAAGTCATGTATTCGCGGAGAAACACCCCTCTGAGTCTTCCATGTCCCAAAAAATATTAAGAAATTTTTTTTCAAAAATTTTCACAAATAGATAGGGTTACTGTAGAATCCGCTTAGAACAAGTTTTATAGACTGTTTTTAATGTAGTTTCGAATGAGCTATAGTATATCCAAATAAGTCATGTATTTGCGGAGAAACACCCCTCTGAGTCTTCCATGTCACAAAAAATATTAAGAAATTTTTTTTCAAAAATTTTCACAAATAGATAGGGTTAATGTAGAATCCGCTTAGAACAAGTTTTATAGACTGTTTTTAATGTAGTAGTTTCGAATGAGCTATAGTATATCCAAATAAGTCATGTATTCGCGGAGAAACACCCCTCTGAGTCTTCCATGTCCCAAAAAATATTAAAAAAAATTTTTTCAAAAATTTTCACAAATAGATAGGGTTAATGTAGAATCCGCTTAGAACAAGTTTTATAGACTGTTTTTAATGTAGTAGTTTCGAATGAGCTATAGTATATCCAAATAAGTCATGTATTCGCGGAGAAACACCCTTCTGAGTCTTCCATGTCACAAAAAATATTAAGAAATTTTTTTTTCAAAAATTTTCACAAATAGATAGGGTTACTGTAGAATCCGCTTAGAACAAGTTTTATAGACTGTTTTTAATGTAGTTTCGAATGAGCTATAGTATATCCAAATAAGTCATGTATTTGCGGAGAAACACCCCTCTGAGTCTTCCATGTCCCAAAAAATATTAAAAAAAATTTTTTCAAAAATTTTCACAAATAGATAGGGTTAATGTAGAATCCGCTTAGAACAAGTTTTATAGACTGTTTTTAATGTAGTTTCGAATGAGCTATAGTATATCCAAATAAGTCATGTATTCGCGGAGAAACACCCTTCTGAATCTTCCATGTCCCAAAATATATTAAAAAAAATTTTTTCAAAAATTTTCACAAATAGATAGGGTTAATGTAGAATCCGCTTAGAACAAGTTTTATAGACTGTTTTTAATGTAGTTTCGAATGAGCTATAGTATATCCAAATAAGTCATGTATTCGCGGAGAAACACCCTTCTGAATCTTCCATGTCCCAAAATATATTAAAAAAAATTTTTTTTTAAATTTTCACAAATAGATAGGGTTAATGTAGAATCCGCTTAGAACAAGTTTTATAGACTGTTTTTAATGTAGTAGTTTCGAATGAGCTATAGTATATCCAAATAAGTCATGTATTCGCGGAGAAACACCCCTCTGAGTCTTCCATGTCCCAAAAAATATTAAAAAAAATTTTTTCAAAAATTTTCACAAATAGATAGGGTTAATGTAGAATCCGCTTAGAACAAGTTTTATAGACTGTTTTTAATGTAGTAGTTTCGAATGAGCTATAGTATATCCAAATAAGTCATGTATTCGCGGAGAAACACCCTTCTGAGTCTTCCATGTCACAAAAAATATTAAGAAATTTTTTTTTCAAAAATTTTCACAAATAGATAGGGTTACTGTAGAATCCGCTTAGAACAAGTTTTATAGACTGTTTTTAATGTAGTTTCGAATGAGCTATAGTATATCCAAATAAGTCATGTATTTGCGGAGAAACACCCCTCTGAGTCTTCCATGTCCCAAAAAATATTAAAAAAAAATTTTTCAAAAATTTTCACAAATAGATAGGGTTAATGTAGAATCCGCTTAGAACAAGTTTTATAGACTGTTTTTAATGTAGTTTCGAATGAGCTATAGTATATCCAAATAAGTCATGTATTCGCGGAGAAACACCCTTCTGAATCTTCCATGTCCCAAAATATATTAAAAAAAATTTTTTCAAAAATTTTCACAAATAGATAGGGTTAATGTAGAATCCGCTTAGAACAAGTTTTATAGACTGTTTTTAATGTAGTTTCGAATGAGCTATAGTATATCCAAATAAGTCATGTATTCGCGGAGAAACACCCTTCTGAATCTTCCATGTCCCAAAATATATTAAAAAAAATTTTTTCAAAAATTTTCTCAAATAGATAGGGTTAATGTAGAATCCGCTTAGAACAAGTTTTATAGACTGTTTTTAATGTAGTTTCGAATGAACTATAGTATATCCAAATAAGTCATGTATTCGCGGAGAAACACCCTTCTGAATCTTCCATGTCCCAAAAAATATTAAAAAAATTTTTTTCAAAAATTTTCTCAAATAGATAGGGTTAATGTAGAATCCGCTTAGAACAAGTTTTCACTTATTAGTGTATTTAATTTACCAAGACGAATTGTACACGATCAATATACCATAAGATATAATACGATAAATTTTGTGGGGTAATTATTTTTTGACTGACTATATTTAAAATGGATTTTCTCGGAGGATTCACCTAGAGCATTTAAAACGCTTAGGCGGGAGTTAAATGATCTAAAAGAATCGTCTCCCAGATTCTGCAGGATTACCAAACATTTGTTCTTGTATTTAACTGATTTATACACAATAGTTTAAAAAGAATAAAATTTCTTCTTTGTCAATATCCCAATATATTTATCAATTAATGAACAGAAATAGCTATCTGTTTTGTTGAATAGAGAGTATTTGGTTAAAGTTGAATATTTAAATACATATGTCCAGATGGACTTCGACTGGTAGAAGAAGAATATTCATTTTTGTTTTAGCGTTGTGAAAAAAAAAAGAAAAAAAATCTGTGAAAAAAGATTATTAAATAAAAAATAAATTGCAACAGCAACAAATGTTAAAAAATAATAAATCGTTAAAAACAACAATTTATACCAAACAAAAAATGGTAAAATTCCGTCATATCACCCGGAAACCGATTCAGACAAATGATATGTCATTCGAAAGATCTCGCCGAGCTGAGTCGAACGACACCGAAATTAGCTTCGGGACTCACATATGGGCCGAGATATAGGTCCCTGAAAATCGAAAAACCAAAGGGGGGAGTAAGCTCAATTTTGGGGTGAAAAATTCGAATATGCAAATTATACCTCATTCGAAAGAGCTTGTCTAGCTGAGTCGAATGAAACCAAAATCAACGAAATTCGACTTGATTTGGCAAAGTTATGATCGTTTCTTTTAGCTCCTTACCTATGGTCTCCGAGTAAGTTTTTGATGCTTCTGAGGCCCCAGGTATGTCCAGAGTAAGGGAGATAGGAATAGGTTTATGTTACGAGCCCAGACCCAGCGCCCGTAGACTCCCCGCGAGGCGCGTGCCGCAAAACCCCGCGCGAAGCGCGGGGTTTTGCACAAGCGCCTCGCCGACGCCCCATAGGTTTATGTTGACCATTTTGAACCTGTTTATCTTGGCTCAGAATAAAGATCTCGAGCTGAATTTGGTGTCATTCGACTCAGCTCGAGGAGCTCTTTCAAATGAGCTATCATTCAAAAAATCGAATTTTTCACCCCAAAATTGAGTTTACTCCCCCCTATGGTTTTTCGATTTTCAGGGACCTATATCTCGGCCCATTGTTGAGTCCCGAAGCTAATTTTGGTGTCGTTCGACTCAGCTCGGCGAGATCTTTCGAATGACATATCATTTGTCTGAATCGGTTTCCGGGTGATATGACGGAATTTTTCCCAAAAAATATTCCTATATTCTAACAAACAAAAATGACTATTCCATAGGTAAACGATTACGATATCCAAAAGTTGAAATAAAGCAAAAATTGAGTTCTTTGACTAAAATTAAACGCCAGAGAAGCATTTCCTTGATATTTTTTGGAATATAAGGCAACTTTAAGAGAAGACGTCTGGACTTGTCACCTGAAAATAATTATAATAATTCACAGAAATCTGACTTTTTGACTCCTGCCAAAATTACACGTCCGACGCACCTTTATGCGAAATCGGGTATCGGAAGAGTAAACATAAACTTTTCGGTTTTTGTGTAGTCCCCCCCCCCCCCCATAAACCCCGCACAATTTTCTTCGGAGGCTGTAAAAGTACCTCTGTAACGAGGCAGAAGTTAACCCAGATATTCTAAGAATTGTAAAGTCCCTAAGACTTGTATAGATTAAAAATTAACCTTTTCCTTTAGGCTTCTCTTTAGTCAAACGAATAGCAAAGTTGATGAAGTAACGCTCCTTTGATGCCAATGTTGAGGCACTACAACCAGCTGTGCGGGCTCCTGAAGGAAAAAGGTCGCTCAAATAGGTTTCGATTATTGCAACTGAAACAAAATTTTCTTTATAAAACCCCTCAAAACTTCTCAAAAAAATTTACCAAATCCAAAAGAGAAGAAGACAACATAAACTGCAATGAAGACAATACTGAGATAAGCAGCAAGACATCCTCCTGAAGCATTAATAGGGACTATTGTTGTCACATCATTCCTTCCTCTAAGCAATTGCAAACTCCTCTCAGCTTCCATAAAATTTTCATGAACAATGTAGCAGTATTTGGGTGATTCAGGACAGAAGAACCCCAACAAAGTTAATTGAACACTTAGAGGTATCTAGAATAAAATAAATTTTGAAGTGAAAATTTAAAAAGAAAATTAACGTAGGAAAGTAGAAATATTAAATGCCAATTCTCCTCATCTCCCGACGTAAAAGGCAGGCCAACAACCAACGCGAATTGAAAGACAGTATAGAGGAAGACATTGGACATACATCCTACAGCACCACGCAAATTTATTGGAGCAATTTCGCTTAGATATATTGATGCAAGTCCCGTATTGATTCCTGAAAATCGTAAATAAAATCGTTTCAAATTTATTAAACAAAATAAACCAGAATTGAAGCCAATGAAAAATCTTGAGATTTCAATTTCGTCTAGGAGGAGAATAGGAGCAGTTATTGACCTGAAAATTGAAATGAAAATTTTTTTGATTATCCCCTTCCAGTCATAAAAACTAGCCAAATTATCTCTTCTTTGTAAACAGCATCAGAGCCATGAATTCGTTTATATGAACTTCTCTGCCATTCAATAAGTATTTTTGCTGAATTTAAAAAATTAAAAATATTTTTTTCCTCTAAAAAATACCTAGAGTATTTAGAGCGCCAAGATGAAATCCCACTTGAGAACCCTTAAAATAAATAAACTTTATTCCCATTTTTCCCTATAATCATTCCGGAAATATAAAATGTTATCCGGAAAGTTCTTAGTCTAACATTAAGTGTGTTTTCATTTTGTATTTTTGAAAGGTCCCCGGGAAAGGGTTTCGCATTTTTCTTTCCCTGTGAACTAAAAATTCGCTAAAAAAAGCCCTGAATGGGAATTTTTGGGAAAGTTTTTATTTTTAATAATTTTTGAATGACCGCATTTCCATAACGTCGACCACTCGGACCGGCGCCTCCTCCATGCAAAATCACACCACTACTTCCGGCCCCCAAACTCGTTACTGAAGTATATCCGCCTCCGCTCCTCCGTCCTACACTTCTTGATCTTGGGTAATTCTGAAAAATTTCGAAAAGTCATTTAAGGAAAACTTTTATTTTACGTCGTCAAATTCATCTCGATCACTTTGTGTGTGATCTTGCTCTTCCTCTCCAGGTGGATGATGTGTCTGAAAATTCAAACAAAAAATTAAAAATAGTAAAACAGCTGGGCTATAGCTATTTATCTCCTTTAGCTAGTGCAAAAGGTTAATAGGCGGCTGGGTGCGAACCAGCATCTTCAATAAACCGGACTGATGTGTTATCCATTGCACCACGCTGCCTACTGCAGCCTTAGGAATTAAATAGCTATATGGTTTACAATAAGTACGTGTATTCCAGCCTCTCGAACTTCGACCCTCGAATCTTCAAACACTATAACTCGAAATTTTTTGTGACATCCATCATCATAAAATCTACAATAAAAATAAGTTGCATTGTTTATTCCAAGCAAGGGTCTTTGTTCGTCAAATCGGCCTACTAGACGTAATTCCCTCCATTCTTCATATCTCTGCCTGTTTGGAAAAGTAATGTGGTGGCGGTAACGTACACGAAAACGGACCATTTAAATAGATAAAATAAATTAATTATCTAAAATAGAGGGATAAATTAATTAAATTCTTATATAAACAATTGATCACAAACAATCTTGATAAAGTTTTGATAAAAATTTCAAAGAAATTGAGTAAAATAAATGAGTTTCTAAATGAAATCAAACCTTAAAGGACATAATTCTAAAAAATGGGTAGGCTTAATTATCTCTTGCTTTAACTAAATAGACCTTATAAATAGAATCTCGAGGATCTTTAAATTATACATGGTAGAGTACATCAATCAGAAAAGCTGAAATGGAGGGGAGGGGTAAAAGGGGGGGGGAGGGGTTCTAGCCAAAGAATTACCAGATCTTCAATTAAATAAGCCTTAAATTAGTGATAAAGGAATAAAGAAGATAAATAATTATTGAAGGATGATATAAGAAGTTCAAAGATGATATATTCAAAGAGGATATATTACAAAAAGTCTAATCAAAACCTTTTGTAATTACTGGAGCGCGGATTTATAGGCAAATTCATTTTTTCTGCGAGCTTGGCATAATGTTGCAATGATGATTCACCTAGCAGCATTTAAAACGCTTAGGCGGGGGTAAACTATCTAAAAAGGAAAAAGAGAAAACATTAGTCGATGCCCCAGTAGTTCAGTGGTAGAGCTCCTGTAGGTGGTGAGCGAACCCACCTAGCAAAAAAGATGAGGAGGTCACGGGTCGGATCCTGCCCGGTGGATAAGCTTTTAAATTTTTTCTATGTAATGCTATAATTACATAAAGCCAGTGTTTTTTATGTAAACACGGCATAACACGTTCAAACAACGTGTTTTTTATCCGCCATTGATGGATCCTCTCAAACAATTGTTGAACCTTTTCTTAGGCACAATGGCAGATTTTTTCTTGTTCATTGACGGGCCCTTCTCTCTTGCACATTTCTGTAACCACTTCCTTCCATCCATTACCAGACCCATTTCACCCATTACTGGACCCTTTTCCTTTGAAAATTTGCGGGACTCTTTTCTTTGGCTATTACCGGAACTCTTTGCTCACCCATTACGGAGAACCTTTTATCAAACGGGTACCAAAGTTAAGCCATTGAAGGATAAAAATTTCCTTCTTTTTTGCCCCCTTTTCTTTCCTCTTCCTTCTTTTTTAAAACAAAAAAAAATTAAAATTTAAAACAAAAATTCAAAAAAAAACAAAATAAAATCTAAAAAATTTCTAGGTATGAATAATTAAAAAAATATTTTAAACAAAAAAAAAGATTAAAAAAGGCATTTATAAAAAAAATTATATAAATAAATTTTTAAAATCAACCACACACAAATTATATCCAAAAAGAAAACACAAAACTTAGAAAAAAATTTTTCTTTTTCAAATTTATTCAACTTCACCACGTTTTCTTTCTTCTTCCTTCTTTTTTGATGATCGTTCCTTTCTTTTTCTTTCTCCTCTATAGTCTTTTTCTTCATTTTCTTTTCTATTTTCCTTCTTTCTTCTCTTCTTTTTTCTTCTTTCCGAATCATCTTTCTTCTCTTTTTTTCGTCCTTTTTCCTTCTTTCTTCCCTTTTCTTTTCCATCTTCATGCTTCTTTTCTTTCTTTTTTGTTCCCCTTTCTTTCCTCTTCCTCCTCTTTTCATCACTATTCTTTCTTTCTGCTTCTTCCTTTTCTTTTTTTCTCTTCTTGCTTTTCTTCTTCTTTTTTCTTTTGCTGTCTTCATCCCCATTTTTTGTCTTCTCTTTTACTAGCTCTTCTCTTTCTTCCTTCAATTCTTCTTTTTCTTCCCTTTTGTTTGCCTTCTCTTCCCTTTTCTCTGCCTTCTCTTCCCTTTTATCACTCTTCTCATCCCCTTTCTCTCTCTTCTCATCCCCTTTCTCCCTCTTCTCTTCCCTTTTATCCTTCTTCTCTTCCCTCTCTTCCTTCTTTTCTTCCCTCCTCCTCTCCTTCTCCTTTTTTACTTCCCTAGATTTTTCTTCTTTTCCTACTTTAGCTCTATCCTCCTTCTCCTCATCCCTCTTTTTTCCTTCTTCTTCTTTTTCATCCTTCACTTCTACATTCTCCACTAGTTCCTTCTTTTCTTTTCTCACATCCTTCATTTCTATATCTTCATTTTCCTCCTTTTCTCTTCTTTCTTCAGCCATTTCTGCATCCTCCCTATGTTCTTTCTTATCTTCTTTCTCTTCCTTCATTTCTGCATCTTCCTTTCGTTCCTTCCTTTCTCTTCTCTCCTCTTTCCGTTCATCCTTCCTCGACACTTTCATCTCCTTTTCTTCCTTCTTTTCACCTCTTTCTTCTTTTCTTTCAGTTTTTCTTCCTCCTCTTCTCTCATCCTTTTCACCATTTCTTTCCTCTTTTTCTTCCAAAGCGTGGTGACGAGGATTGAAATAAGGCTTACTGAAATATTTTTTGAATGATTTAATGAATAAAAAATCAAAACCTTCGACGATAGTTACCACCAACTGCTCGAGATCTTCGAGAAAACTGGTCTTGAGGAGATGGGGTTCTTCTCTCTGGAGAAATTGAGTACCGCTTCTTGTATTGACGCTAAAAATTAAATTAGAGTTAAATTTCAATTAATTTATAAAAAATACATTTTGTTGTTGACTGTCCTTCATTCGCAAGAAAGAAAGCCAAACTTGAGTTATTTCACTGTCAGGTACATGAGGACCCATAGGTCGAATAGTTGTTGACTGATATGGAATGTTTGATGCAAGTGGAGGATTCAACGGCCTTACACCACCAATATTTGCCAACAAATTTGAAGAGATAGAAGACCCAATAATGCTTGAATGGTCTTGTCCAATTCCGGGAGGCTTAAAAGAGAAAATAAAAAAAAATCCCCAAAATTCCTTACAACTAATCCAGTAGTACTAACAGGAGTAACTGAACCAGGCGGTCGCAATTCCGTATTTAAACCTTCACTCGTTCTTTGTTGTGACTGAATAACTGCATCAGAAGAAGCGCTTGACATTGGGGGAAGAGAAGGATATCCACCACCACTTTGCCCTGAAGACGCTGCTGCGGCAACAATACTTTTCGCTGCCGAATCCTTGTCTTTGCGTTTCAAGAAATTTTCCCAGACTGAGCTTAACTCCTTTAAAACAAAATGAGAAAAAAATTTTTTTTATTAAAATAAAAACCTGCGCAGAAAGAGGCGACGCACTAACCAAACCTTTTTGTTGAGCTGTATTAATTGAAGTGCTAACATGACTAACGGATCCATTTTCAGCTGTTATATGTGTAGATGAAGAAATAACTACAAATAAAACTAATTTTTAGACTTTTTCACTAATAAAATAATACTTGGAGGAGTAATTGGAACATTTTGAGCTGCAGAAATTGGAATATTGATAGGAGGAGGAGGCCTTTTTGGATCAAAAATTGGAATTTGTGGTAGAAAAAGAGGAGCTCCTTGCAACGATGAAGCAGTTGACGCGGCTGGAATGTTATTGATTGAAGCAGGTTGAGAAGAAAGGGCAGGAGCAGTAACTAAATAAATATGAATAAAACAAAGATTTACTGAAAAAATTATGACCAGTGAGAGTCAGGCCCGTAGCCAGGGAGGGGTAGGGGGGGAAATTCCCCCCCCCCCCCCGAAATGGGGAAAAGGGAAAAATTTGGGGAAGGGCTGGGGCAAAAAAAGTGAATTTTTTTGGCCTACGGGCTTCAAAATTTTCAAAATTTTCGCCTGCGGCGCTAAAAAAGAAAGAAATCTGGCTTCTTGAGGTGCAAAATTCAAAAAATTTTCGTCTGCGGCGCTGAAAATCAAGTTTTCGGCGCCTGCGGCGCCGAAAAAGTGAATTTTTTTGGCCTACGGCCTTCTAAAATTCCCAAAATTTTAAAATTTTTTTTTGCGCCAAAAATTTGGCGCAAAAAAATTTTTCCCCTCTTGGCCCCCCCCCCCCCCCCCGAAAAAAAATCCTGGCTACGGGCCTGGTGAGAGTGAAGGTGTGGGCCAAAGGTTCACTTATGTTGTAAGTTCCAAAAAAAACCTCTGACCCACATTTTCAATTCACTGGTCAAAAAAATTTTTAAATGAAAAATATATATCAGAAAAAATCCTTATAAATTGCTCAAAAATGCCCACAAACTAAAATAACGAAAAATAAAAAAACCATAAGAACTGGTATCCTGTGTTGTTACATTGACAGTTGATGAAGTTAGAGGATCAGACGCATTCTTCAAACCAATAAAAATTGGTGGTGGCTTTGAAGGCGGCGGTTGTACAATTGAAGCTGGAATGTTTGTTGCTGCTACTGACGCTGAAAAATAATTTCATTTTTATATAAAAGAAATTCAAAATTCAAGCCTTGCGAAGAATCTGGTTGGGAAGGAGAACGTCCAGTAGTAGTAGCCAATTCTCTTTGTGCTTGAGCTAGAGCCAAGTCCGGCATCAGTTTATGCAAAAGTGACTGCGTATCAGTCAACACACTTGGCTTATTGACTCCTCCCTAAGTTAAAAAAATAAAAACTGATGAGTCAAAATTAAATAATACTGTTTGTTGATCTGTTGTTTCGCCACCAGTTTGGAGCTAATAATAAGGAATTTAATTAGAATAATTAAATTGAATAAAAACCTCGTTCAAATATTTCTGAATCGCTGCACGTAAACTCTTATTTGGAATGAGAGAATCCGCACTGATTTGTTGTGAGCAGTCAGGACCGGGGCATTGTTCCAATGGATTGGCCAGAAGCTGTTGTTGGTAACATTCAGCACAGAAGCTATGCCCACAACAGGCGGCTGGAAAAATGAAAATAATGGCTTAATAGCTTTGATAGGAAATAGAAAAATAGGGGAGCACAACCCCACCCAACCCTCTGAAATGGGAAAAAGGGAAAAAATTGAGGAGGGGATTGAGCAAAAAAGTGAAATTTCTTCGACTATGACCCTCCAAATTTCAAAAAATTCCCGCCTGCGGCACTGAAATTGAATATACGAAATTGAATAAATCCAGCCTCTTAGGTCTAGCTTCTTGAACCCGTTGGCTACGCCCTTGGAGCACGAGAAAACCACGACAAAAGCGCAGTTTTTCGGAAAAAACCACAAAAAACAAAGCACAATTTTCTAGAAAACCAAAAAGAAAACAATGGAAAATACCTAAAACAGCATCTCTCAATAGCCCTTTGCACAGAAAACATTTGTACTGGTCTGGCACCTCCACTTGTTCTTCAGTATAAGGCGAGCCGGTAACATCCTCAGATTGACCAGGAAAGGGTTCCTTCAAATTAAAAATTAATTTTAAAATTTATTCAAAAATAAAACATGTTTTCTTTGTAGACGTGCTTGAAAGTGCATTATCGACTTGACATATTTTCCAGATGGATGCAACATCGCCAAAGGGTCGTCCTTGGTAGTTTCCATCAATTCATCCATCGGAATTCCAGTTGTTCGTTTTGTATTTACCTACAAGTGGTTGAAATTTATGGTTTAATGCATTCCAACACAATTTCTGGCCCTTCATCAATTTTTGATTTTTTTTCACACAAAATTTGAGTGGTCGGAATTGTTTAAAATTAAGTATAATTTTATATTAAATAGAATCCCTTGTTTTATAAAACAAAAAAATATTCAAGTATAAAGTCAAAAAGATTATTTTTTTCCTAAAAATATTTTTTAAAAAGAGGGTTGACTTTATACCTGATTAATTAAATTTAAGCATATTATGAGTGATTCTAGGATAAGAAATAATAACTAGACTTACAATTAATAATGAGCTGACAAGGGACCATCGTTTACTGTGACTAGGGTCGGGGTTTTCGAGTCGGGCCAACGTTCGAGTTATTTTTTCGTGCCTCATTTTTATAGGGCCGGACGACCGACCGAGTCTTTTTCGGGCCAAAATTCGATGCCCGACTCGATCTTTCTGACCCGACCCCCAACTCTAACTGTGATTTTTTTCTCTATTTTACCGGTACCTTTTCGATAAAAGTTATGTTCGTTTGCCTACAAAATAATCTGGACTGAGTTATGTCCATTCAATTCACAGCAAACGATGGTCCCTTATGAGAACATATTAAATTGTTTTAGAATTTCTGTAATTAGCAGAGGACGGTCAGAATATCCGGAGGTGTCTAAAATCAGAAATGACGGAATTCCATCACTGCTAATTACTAACCTTAGAAATTTTACAAAATATTATTTGAGGATTAAAAAACGGTTGCTTAATTTCTATGCTGAATGAGATAAAAAATAAAAACAAAGGGATAAAAAATGAAAATTAAAAACAGGCCTTTCAATTTAAAATTATTTTCTAACAAAAATATTGACATTTCTGAAATGTTAAAAAATATGTTTGAAAGTCCTGATTAAAACTATAACTTGAATAATACGAAATTGGAGAAATATTTAAAAAAATAGGAGGATAACAAAAAAAAATAATAAAACTGGGAAACGAAAATTAACATTCGAAGCGGGTTAAAAAATATAAAATAATAAAACCAAATTTAATCGGAACTTAATCCTTTTATTAATTAGAGATCGGAATTTTTGAAAAGCCTGGGCCTATTATTGGGTTTGATTTATTGACCTAGGCCTGTAGTCCAGGAAAAATCCAGGAAGGTAAAAAATGCCTGGACATGGGCCTGACTATAAAAAAACCCAGGCCTTGGTGCAGACCCAGGCCGATCTCTAGTATCAATCTTTAAAAGTTCAATAAAGGTGAAAAAGGACCGAAATTTGTGAGAAAGGTAAAATGTATGAAAGCGGGGCAATTCCCGGTTTTAATCGAGCACAACGAGATGTGCAGGCTATTTCCTTAAAAATTAGCTGTCAAATATATTTAAAACAGCAAAATTCAAATGTGGTTAGACAAACACGAACACACTAAAATAAGTAATAAACCTAGTTCTTAAAATCGCAGCTGAAAAAGCTTTTCACAACCCGGGAACCCTAATGTTAGAAGAAAAGAATTAAAAGGTGAAAACCTCTCACTTGATAACATCAGATTGTCTAAATACAACAATAAAGTGTATCAACAAACCCTCAGAACTCATCAGAACACAAAATCAATTTTTGGAAGAAAAATGTCCCTCACCATTAAGGTTGTTTCATCATCGTCAAAAAACCACGAAAATTTAATCAAAAAAATTTTTCAAAAATAATTCCCATTTTTGAAATAAAAATAAATTTGTTGCAAATAAATTGCAGAAAAAATTATAAAAAATTTAAAAAATAAAGGAATTAATCAAACGCTGAGAGGAATCAATGGCAAAACACAAGAAAAACCGTTCTAGGCCATTGTTGATTAAAAATTCCCCGATCACTCGATTTCCTCATCATCAATGTGGAAAGGAGGAAGAAGAGAAGTGAAATTACCAATGGACAGCTTTTGTACCAGTGACCAGGTTGAGCACAACGATTGCAAACATAAGTCGGTGGAGGAGGTCCAGACATGATTCCAATTGCTCGTCTTTGGTAGCTAAATTAAAATAAAGTAGAAAATAAAAAATTGTTAAAAATGAAACTTTGCAGCGCTGTATTTCTCTGCAGAAACTTGTTTTACATGGGCAATCCTCTGTTCTTCAGTAAGCTTCGAAAAATCATCCTAAAAGAATTAAAATAATGGGTAAAATTTCGTAATATGTCTCAGAAATTGATTGAGACAAACATTTAACTCATTAGAAAGAGTCCAAAGAGATGAGTCAGCTAAGGTCCGAGATATAAGTTCCCGAAATCTGAAAAACTATAGAGGGGGGATCAAGGTCATTTATGGGCTTACCGTTTGCCTGAATCGGTCTTCGAGACAAATGACGGAATATTTAGAGTTTAATAACTAGAGATAGGCCTGAGTCTGGACCGAGGCCTGGGTTTTTCCTGTACGCAGAGTCCAGGCCTTGAATTTTTGACCTTCCTGGGGTTTTCCTGGGCCTGGATTTTTCCTTAACTACAGGCCAAGCATCTGGCTGAACTCAATAAATCAAACCCGGAACCCCGAAACAAGCCCAGATTTTTAAAAATCTCGATCTCTATTGATGACTTCCCAAAAATTAATTTTAAAACAAACCGGACTAATGTAGGTCGAAGTTTGAAAAACGCCTGCAGAACGTTGAACAATCCCGCTATTTGCTGTATCCCTCAAATAAAAAATTTTTTCACTTAAAAACTCGTTAAAAAGGCTTACTGGACTTTGGGTAATTTCAAAGCATTATCTCTCGGCAATCTTTGAACTACCACAGAAGAATTTCTTGGGACCAATTCCCCCGTCGTATATTCTCTTTTAGTGTGGGCATTTGTGATTAACAAATCAAAAGATTCTGTTCGAATGTTTTCTTTATCGCATATTGCTTTTTTTAATTCATCCACGCCTATATGCAAGCCATCAAAAGTTAAGGTTTTGTATTCGAGTGTTGCTTTGAATTTGTAGTGAACTGAAGACATTTTTTTAAATTAAATCTAAAATTAAATTTTTAATCAGAAACAAAAATTAGAGGTCGGCAAAATAGCATTCCCGGGATCCCGGAACGGGATTTTTTTTTTTCAAAATTTTGTACGGGACGGGACCCGCGGGATTAATCCCGTAATCCCGTTTTCAAATTTACCGGGATCCCGCCGGGATTCTGGGACGGGATCCCGTAAAATCCCGTACGGGGTCCCGTCCCGTGCCGAGCTCTAACAAAAAACACAAGAATCCCGAAAGATAATGGACTTCGATTTAACCATTTTCTTTTTTTCTCTGCACTCTCCAATTTCTCTGCAGTCTCTCATCTACAGAGTGTGGGGGACGTTTGAGTATCGCCGATTCCGTATTTGAGGCATATTTTGGACCATAACTTTTTTGATTCTTAACCGATTTAAATAATTTTTAGATCAATCGAAAGCTCTAAAAGTGGGGGTTTTTTTACTTAGCAGGATTGATTTGATCAGATGATCCTATAAAAAGTTACAGCCCAATAGGTGAGGTCAATCGTGATTTTCGATATTTATTTGGCTTTAACTTTTTGGAGAAAATCCAAATCAGATCATTCCATTACTAAAAAGATGCCGCATCTCGAGACCTTTCGAATGATATGAGTATTACTCGAATCGGTGGAAAAACAAGAAAGTTATGGGTTAAAATATATCCTAAATATTGAATCGGCGATACTGAATCGTCCTTATCTCCTATTTAGGAAATAGACATTTTGCCAAAAGGACTTTTTGCCAAAGGTATTTTTGTCTAACATTTAGCTCTAACATTTAGCGAGTTTATCAAGATTCAAAAATTTTGCTGATAAAAACAGATAAAAAAACATTAATTAAAAAATTAAGTCAAGGATAGAGCTTTAAAAATTTATTATACATAAAATCAAAAAAATGTTTAAAATTTAGGCTGTCTTCCATTAAATATTTTAATAAAGGCTGGATAAGGAAGCAATTAATAAGCAAATGGAAAAAGTTTGAGAATTAATTTTAGGTCAATACAAATTGAAAAATAGGAAAACTTATTGAAAACTTAGCGAGAAAAATTTAGTTAATTTTAGTCAAAATTAATATTGAATACCGCATTTATTCTAATAGAACCAGTCTTCATTATAACCACCCCATATGGAGAGGTTGAAAAATTGAACCATCGGGGCCCGTATCAGAGCAAGTTGTTAAAAGGATATCATAAGAAGTTGATCATTAACCAGGTCATTTAACCCCTACCTAGAGGTATTTTCGTATCATAAGAGCGTCTGGTATTTTCCTTCTTGCTTACCACGAACCACGTTCTTATGATACGGGTCCGGAGGTTCTATTAGAATAAATACGGTATTTTAAAATTACAAAAAAATTTAATTTAAATCAGGCTTGGTAATGGATATGGATACGGATAGGTTCGAAATGTCTGTGGATATGCGTCTTATCCGCCGTAAATATCCGGATAAGGGATACCAAACTCCATGTCTATTACCTAGTCTGATTTAAAATATTCAATATTTCCTTAAAAAAATAGAAAAAAATTTAATTAATTAATTTAATTATTTTTTTAAATTTCTTTAATAGTCCTTATGTTCAATTACATCAATTATGTACATTCTAAAAATTAAATATTGAAAAATTATTTTTTAAAAATTAATTACCGATTTCCAGATACAAGAGAATTCATTGAAAGTTCTTGACCATTCAAATAAACCTAAAAAATAAAACCCTATTTTTTTGATAGAATTATAACCTCTATTTTATATAAAGACCGGAGATCGCACCGACAAAATTCCCGATTTCCAAAATCGGAAATTTTATTTTTATGTCGGTGCGATCCCTAATACACACCCAATACATTCAAGCTGGCAACTGTGTTGCCTAAACGATGTCCTCTGGATAGACCCAATTTGGAGGGAATTCATTTCATAATAACTGGGGAGTTGACTCAATAGCGGATACATCGAATCATAGGTACAATTTTATCAACCCCAAGAGTGGATGTAAATTTACATATTAGGTAATTTAATAATAATTTAATAAATATTACTCGAAATTGTGGATTATCGTCCCAAACAGTTCCACTATCATTAGCTATCTGGAAAAAAAAATAAAATTAAAAAGTAATTTTTAATGAGAAATTTTAAAAATTATTTAATAAAAATAAATGCAAATTTTAGACAAATTTAGGAATTTAAAAAATCCAGCACCTGACACCGGGCCATATTAATTAATTCGGCAACTGTACATCCATTATAAATTTCAATAACACAGCGGTCCTCCCCAACTTTTCCATATTTTGGTAAATAAATGGTGTTAATAATAACGTTAACTTTTGGACCCAGAGCCATCAAATTTGAAAAATTAAGTAATTTAATGAATTAATTAATAAAATAGAAGAAATAAATTTTTTAGAGCCAGAAATTTATTTAAAAAATCTTCTAAAATTTAAAAATAATTTTTGACTTTTCTAAAATTTTTTTTTAAATTTTTTTGTGTATTTTTTAACTAATTTTAATCTTTAAAAATTAATAAAAATTCAAAAGCTCGGGTAAATATCAAGTTTATACCAGGGATAGGTCGGATTACCCGAAACAGATACCCGAAACCTGATCCAAAGAAAATTTTTGAACCTATATTTCTTAACCTTGTCCATCTCTGGTTTATACGAGATTTTAAATTTATTTAAAACTTTTCTCAAAAATTTTTTAAAATTAAAAAAAAAATTTTTTAAATAAATTTTAATGTATAAGAATTTAAAAATGAGAATAACAAAATTAAAAATAAATAGAAAAACAGCAACATTATAATGGAATGTTGTCTAGGTTTTATTTAAAAAGCAACATTTAAATAAAGCAACATTTAGAAGAATAAAAAAATAAATTTATTTATAAGAATTTTTTAGAAAATAAAGAAAAATAAAAGAGATGAATAGATTGTAGAAAGATTAATGTTTTGTAAAAAAATACCTGAAAAATAAGAAAATTATATGTAAAGACAAAAGATCATAAAAATGTTTTTTTAATGTTAATAAACTTAAATTTAATAAATTTAATTTAAAAAATTAAAAAAAAATTTGAATACCGTATTTTCTCGATTAATTGCCCTCCCTCGAATAATTCCCCCTCTCGATTAATTCCTAGAGTTGGGTTTAAACAATAATTCCCCACCCCCAAATACCCTACTGCACGTTCAAATTCTAAAACTTAAATAATTCCCCTCCCTCGATTAATTCCCCGTGCCAAGGATGGGTTGAAAAAACAATTCCCCAGGGGAATTAATCGAGAAAACACGGTAATTTAAAAAAAGAGATAAAAAAATCAGTTTGTCGGCCTGGTTCGATCATGTCATAGGGATTTCAAAAAGTTAAAAAAATTTTTACTCTCGATTGTTCTTCTCAAATTAGTAAGTCCAGGAATGTCGGATCAACTTATTCCACACCTATTTCGATTCAGTTTTCAAGAATTACTTCGAATGGCAACTCATTTGTCCAAAACAACCCAAATTTGAAAAAGATTCAGGTGGAATGGTTAAAGCGTTTAGATAAAATTTTAAAAATTAAAAAAATTTTTTCAAATATTATTAAAAATGTTAACAATGTCATTCTAAATTAGAGTCCGGCAAAATCGCATTCTCGGATTGGATTTTAAAATTCGACTGGGACGGGATCCCGCGGGATTAATCCCGTAAATCCAGGTAATCCCGTTTTCCGCGAAAAACCCGGGATTCCGGGACGGGATCCCGTAAAATCCCGTGCGGTGTCCCGCCCGTGCCGGTCTCTAATTCTAATACAGTAACTTTTATTTAAGGTGTGTTAAGTACAGTATCTCGAAAAATAGAAAATTTTCAGTAAAAGAGTCCACGGATAACATATTTTAAAAAAAGTGTAATTTTGGGTTTCATAATTTAAAAGGTGCCAATTTTTTAATGCCAATTTATTTCCAAGTATATAAAAAATTACAGGTGTAAATTTATAACAAACAAATAAATAATTATTGGAAATTTATTATAAATAAATATATATTTCTTTATTTTTATCGCATAAAAATTAATAAAAAAAAATTATGTGTAATAAAAAATTAAACTAAATTAATAAATAAAAAATATATTTTTTAATGTAAAATAAATAAATATTTTAATTATTTTCATCTAAATTTTCTATTTTTAGAAATACCTATTTATCAGAATAATCCTTAAATTAATAGGGTAAATTAATTTAAAGAATTTCTGAATTAATAATTAAATCAGAATTTTAATTTTTTCTATATTCTGAAATTCAATTTCAGCTAATTTTATTTTTAGAATTAAATTCAGAATTTTAACATTTTCTGATATTTCTGATTTTTATAATATCAAATCCAACTCAAGTATACCGTATAACCTGTATTAGTTGCCCTCCTTCATATAATTACCTAACTTCCATTAATTACCCCATCCAATGATAGATTTAAAAAATAATTACCCCCTGTCAAATGCCCTAAAACACGTTCAAATTTCAAACCTCGCATAATTTCCCTCCCTTGATTAATTACTCCCTCCAGAGGAAGGTCGAAACATTAATTACCCATGGTAGTTATTAAAGAATATACGTAATTCAAGGTTAAAATAAAGTTAAGTTCGACTTTATTTAATTTTTTCTAATTTAATTTTTAATTTTTAAATAATTTTTAATTTTTTATTTCTGTTTTCCAATAACCCTTTTTTATAAAAAACAAATATTTAGTTTAATTTAATTTTTAAAATTTCCATTTTAAAATTAAATTAAAAATAATTTAATAATATAATTTAAAAATCAAAAACAATTTTTTTAAAGTTATTCTATTAAAAAAAATTTTTTTTTCATAAAATATTATAATTATAGGCCAGCTGAACTATCACGAGTTTCTTTTAAATTTTGATAAAATTTAATATTTTATCGTAAATATTTTGTTACCGTAAAAGTCTCTAAAAGTTGAGATTCTTATGGAATACAACTTAGAGCAGAGGTCAGTCGGAAT